AAAATAAAATTAAGGTAGAAGTAAATGAAACTGAGATAGAAGTGATAACTCAAGAAACATCATCTTTAAGGTTTCATAGAGAGAGGAAGAGAAATAGAGAATGTGAGAAGAGAATTGGTGTTGCTTGAGCTAATGTAGTCAATTACTACAATAATTATGTTGTCCAAAATCCAGAGATTCAAGCATCTCAGATTCCCAGCTCATCTTTGGGTTTCTGAAATTCTAAAGGTTCATCCCATGTGTTATGAAATGTTTAGAATGAAGAAACATATGTTCCTCCATTTGTGTGATACTTTGCAGATTCGGTACAACTTAAAAGCCAACTAGGAATGTGGGAATTCATAAGCAAATTGGTTTATTTCAAAGCATGTTAGGTCAACCAGGTTTTGTTCGTAATTTAGAAGAAAGATTTCAACATTTGGGTGAAACAATATATAGACAATTCCTCGTGTCTTAAATGTTGTGTGTGGACTTGTAAAGGATATATATAATTAGACCTCTAGATTCATCATTTAGAGATGTTCTTGATGGGATAAAAAATGATAGGAGATATTATCCTTATTTCAAGAATTGCATATATTGGTAAGAAAGGTTATACAATTATTAGAGTCATGGTTCTTGTGATTTCAACATAAGTTTCACCTTTGTTTAGGGAGGCTTACGCTCATGATACAAATATTGATACATTTTCATGATTCAGATTGACAAATTATAATTAATACTAATTATACAAATGATATTATTATAAATAAATAAAATTTTATATGTTTTTATTTATTATTGTGCGTAGGATATTAAAATCGTGATAATTAATTTTTTAATAATTTCCTTTGACATTGACAATTAATAAATTTTGTATTTTTATTTTAAAAATGTCTAAATATTTTTTGTATAAAAAATATTTACACACTTTTAATTTTAAGTTTTTAGACCTTTAAATATATTAAATTGAAATATGTTTTTAGTCATCCCATTTTAACAAATTTTTAATTTTACTCTTCTCAATGATTTTTTTTTTTTTTTTAGTTCTTACTTTTCTATAATTTTTTTTTGCCCCTTAATATTGATTTGGTCCATAGTGATACTGTCACATGTTAATTTTTTGTCTAACCACATTAGTATTAGGGGTTAAAAACAAATATTTATAAAAAAATAAGAACTAAAATAAAAAAATCATTTAAACGGACATAAACAAACAATTCGCTAAAACATGAGAACCGAAAAATATATTTAAACCTATGTCTTATATGTTCTAACTTATTATTGTGTAGAAGATAATTAAATTATTAATATTATAACAATTATTTTTAATAATATTTTGACATTAAAATAGATATTATTTGGTATATATCATTTAGAAAACATCTAATTGTGTATAGAATATAAGAAAATTATACTTTAAAAAATATATAAAAAAATTGATTTTATGAGATATTTTATTTTAAAAAATTAATTAAATATATACTTTATTTATTATTAATATTTAAATTAATTTATAAAAATATGTCCTTGTAGTAATTTTATCATTTAAAGTACTTATACAATTTTATCCAAACACAACTTATAATTTTTAAAAATTACTTAGTTAAATATTATCCAAACACAAAATTTATGTTCTTTAAAAATCACTCTTCGCATTAGAACTTATATAATAATTTTTTTAATGCAAGTAGTCATAAAAAAATTTATTCATATAAGGCTTAAACTTAAGTAGATCAACTTTATAAATTTTATAAAAAAATATAATTATTAAAAATACTTTATTTTAGCAGATAATATATTTTTAAAATATAAATAAATATCAATTTTTTTATAACATATCTACAAATTTTTAAATTATATAAAATTTGACATATATAATCAAGAAGATAATATAAGATAATTTAACAGTTAAATTGATCTGTTTTACATTTTATAAAGTGGTATAAATATTTAAATTTGACAAGAGATGTTAAGGAATGTTCTTTCTATATATAATTTTTAATTTATTTTTATAATGTAAAAGTATTCTTAAAATAATTTTTAGAATTTATTAATTTTTTTAATAAAATTATCAATGAAAATTATATTCATTTATATTATTTATTATTACCAGTAAAATAAAATTGATCAATCTGTGTATAGTGTTAAGAAAACTAGTTTTATTATATAAATCAATTGAAAATAAATAAAATTTAAATAATAAAATTCAAAAGGGAGTAGTTTATCACAAACAAAATATAAAGAGAGAAGAGAAAGTTGTGTTTCTATTTACTTGTTTATACAGAAGTTCAACACAATATTAGTTGTCACTTTTTTATTAACATTATTTTATTTATATAAATATTTAAACTATTTGAGTCGTCTAAAATTGAAAAAATATCTACCAATAAAAAAATACATTAAAAAATCAACAACTAATTTTTTTAAATTAATTACATTTTAATTTGTATATTTTTTAAAATAAATAAATAAAAATAGATGTAATACATGAATCAGTGTGAAAATGTCTTAGTGTAAAAGGACAGGGAATATTTTCAAGAGAACTGTGTCTTATTGCTTGTTGGCCGACCAAAGTGAGAATAAATAAACTTATGACAAACGAATGGAACCTCTGAAAATATCTCATAATGTGAAGTAACCGGCCACAATCAAACGTGTGTGGTGTGTCTGAGGCCGGCTAAGGACTAATTTGTAATTTGCAATTTGCAGTATTGGCTTCAATTAATAATAATTCAACAACATGGTTATCTTCACCACCCTCCGTGTCTTTTTCCCTATTTTTCACAAACTCTCTTTGATTTTTCAGCCATTACCTTTACAAATCGCCATTAAATAACAATTCAGGAAATTGAGATAAAAAAAAAGTGCAGAGAGTCTATGTAACACTGCATAAAATAAAGGAGGAAAGTAAAATTGAACTACTTGCATGTTGTTGGATCTTCTCCATTCTTTTTGTTTTCCCACTTTCTTTTAGTTTTATTATTTGAACATAAAAATATATACCACATGTCATATCATTTACAATCATCTATGGCTCTTATTAATTTATTTTTATGTTTTTCTTATATATACATTAAAAATATATACCTTAAAATTAGACAGGACAACTTTTGTTCTTCCTATTTTGTATTCCACGAATATAGATATTAGTATTTAATTAAAATATAATAATTTTTAATACTATCATTTTAATCATAAATTATTATATAATTAAAATTAACTATTATAATAATTACTTTAAAATTTATAATATAAAAATCTTTATAGTAAGAATATATCAAAATTAAACTCCAGATATTACATGATTTTTATGGTTCATTTGTTCGAATCATTGCTTCTTAGGAGATAAATGCCATCTTCTTAAACCTTTTCCTTTGAATGAATTAGGGTCTATTTTTAGTAGATGTTCTTAAATTATTTGTTATGTACTTAGCTATATAATTTAATCAAATATGTATTTAATAAAATTTATTAAAAATAAATATAGAAAAATATTTTAATAATTTTTTTAAAACTTATTAATATAAGATAAAAAAAATTTGCAAACAACTTATATGAATCCAATTTTTAATTTTTTATATAAAATCTATTTCAAACCCTATGATATCGACATAGATCATGCATGACACTTCTACCATTGTTACTGAATAAAGCTTGAAACTCAACTTCCTTTATGGCTTGATAATGATCACATGTAGCACATTAATTGTCTCTTTGCAATTTTTCTTATGGTAGATTTGAGCTCGTGTGTGAACATCAACTTGTGCTTCCCCTAGGCACTTAGAAGCACTAACTCATGAGTGAAATTGACATTGGGACACGTTATTGAAAGATGGAGTCTTAAATGGAGTAGTGGAAAATGGGACCCAATTTCAGACTATTGCTATAATTTCCATAGTTAAGCTCTGAGTATGCCACCCTTTGTTTAGAAATGATTGCATGATCGGTTTCAAGCACCAATAAAAGAGGAGAATTGCGTTAGGTAGTTGATATAGGTTATACAATTTTTTCGAATATTTATGACATGACAAATAATATGGTTGCCTTCATGTTAGGTTATTACTTTTGATTAATAGTGGAATAGATAATAAGCCTTATTGATATCATTTTTTTATTATTGTACTTGTGATCAACCCCATATTGTCAAAATAATGCTTTTATTATTGTTGTTGCCTTATTTTTTATTATTTATTTATTTATTTACTTTGAAAACATCTCAGAACCATATGTTATATATGGCTAGGATTAGGATTAAACTAGAAATTAAAGGGTCTAAGTAGTTCATATGGGATCATGAGTTTAATATCTGTACGACTGTGTTCCATTTTTAAAAATGAAAAATTAAAGTTATATTTTTGAACAAATTAGGGAGAGCAAATGACAAATGCTGTGGCTAATATTTTACAGTTTGAAAGAATTGGAACTTTCTAATTGAAGATTTGTAGTGTGTCAGTGCGGCAAAGCCTCTTGATTAATAAATCCTTCTTATAGATGACAACCAACTAGAAATCCATAACTTTTAACAGAAGCAAATATATAAATTATCTCAAAAGTAGAAAAAAAAAATCTAAATCATTTAATTTTATAATGATTTATCAAGATTGAAATATAAAAAATTTAAAATAGATTATATAATTTTAATTCATTTTTAATTTTGATAATTTATGTAAGGTTGTCCAACTCAGATAGATAAAGTAACGTGACCTTACTAAAAGGGTAATAATTCTTATAAAAATACTATGTTATGCAAATTAAATTATAAAAGACGTACGATAAAGTGTTAGTCCAAGGCTAAGAGAGAGAATCGTTGGTAATATTCTTCAATAATACCTTAGTTAAATGTTTTATTTTGCATCTTGGAAGCTAATTTTGAAGCAATAAAATACAAAAGAGTATGCTGTCTATTGTAGAGTTAAAAAGGCTAAGTGGCTTATGTGCAAATAAATAGTGACTAAGGTCATAAATCACTTTAAGCCTTGCCATTATTTTCTTCCAGGTTTCAAGCATCTCAAGTGACAATGGAAGACATAAGCAGGTGGCTATCCTTCTATGTGAATGAGAGTGTAAACCATGACTTTGCCATCAGAAGGTATTGCCCGGCTAGAATGGAGCAAGAGCAAGGAGGAGAATGCCAAGGCAAAGAGGCATTAGTACTTGATGACACTGAATTATGTTCTTCTGATGCTACCAGCACTCCTTGGTTGGCTTCATCAGAGGTTGATGACTTTGTTGACAGCTTCATCAACATGGATCAGTATGAGTATGAAGATCAAGGGTCCCAAGAGAGGCATCAAAGTTTTGATCACTTTGTGGTGAATGATGAGGATGAGGCTGATGCATACTCCACGGTGAATGATATATTTGGATATGTTCCAATTACTATGGAGGATGAAGAATTGGAGATGTATGAATGTGTCACAACAGTCATGGAGGAGGAAGAAGTTGAAATGAATGGCTCTTTTGGTGCTATACCTGAGCTTGTGCCTTGTCCACAAGAGCCCAGCCTTGGTATGGACCAAGGGTTAGACTTGGTTCATATGCTGTTGGCTTGTGCTGAGGCTGTGGGGTGCAGAGACAACCAGCAGGCAGAGTTGTTACTTAGCAGAATTTGGGCTTTGGCAAGTCCTTCAGGAGACTCATTGCAGCGAGTCTCCTACTGCTTTGCCACAGGATTGAAGTCTAGGTTATCACTTCTTCCTCAAAATACACTCACAACTTCTGCTATTGATGTGCCTTTGATCACTAGGGACAATAAGCTGGAAGCCTTTCAGCTTCTTTACCAAACCACACCTTATATTGCATTTGGTTTCATGGCTGCCAATGAGGCCATATACCAAGCATCACAAGGAAAGAGCTCAATACACATAGTTGATTTGGGAATGGAGCATACCCTTCAGTGGCCTTCCCTGATAAGGGCCCTTGCTTCAAGGCCTGATGGTCCTCCAAAGCTCCGGATCACAGGATTAACCGGCGATGAAGACAATCTAAAACTTCAAGCTAGCATGAATGTGCTTGTGGAGGAAGCAAGCTCATTAGGAATACCTCTTGAATTCCACATAATTTCTGATCCTGCAATTTCATCACTTCTTACTATGGAGAAGCTGAGCTTGAGAGAAGGTGAAGCTCTATTCGTTAATAGTATCTTGCAGTTACACAAATATGTCAAAGAAAGTAGAGGCTATTTGAAGGAAATTCTCCAATCAATAAAGAAGCTAAGTCCAACTGTACTTACAGTGGTAGAGCAAGACACAAACCATAACGGTCCTTTCTTCCTTGGGAGATTTTTGGAGTCACTTCACTATTACTCGGCCATATTTGATTCTCTTGAGGCAAGTATGCCAAGAAATAGCCAACAGAGATTGAAAATAGAGAGATTACATTTTGCAGATGAAATTCGAAATATTGTAGCTTTTGAGGGACCAGATAGAGTAGAAAGACATGAGAGGGTAGACCAATGGAGAAGGCAATTAGGCCGAGCAGGATTTCAGGTAATGCCACTCATGTGCACAAGTCAAGCTAGAATGATGCTTTCTGTTTATGATTGTGATGGATATACATTGTCCAGTGAGAAGGGTAACCTTCTACTTGGGTGGAAAGAAAGGCCAGTAATGATGGCTTCTGCATGGCAAGTGGCAAGTGTGTGATTTTCCCTATCAAATATTTTGAAGGAATAGGGAGAAGAATGATCATGCACTTATTCATTGCCATAATATGTTTCTTTAACATCTAATTTGATAAAATTAATCATTTTCTACCTAATTTTCTGCATATTCCCTCATTGAAGATATCAAAATTGTCCATGTGTTTTGAGTTAGCTATTTGTGTTTGTACTTCTTGACCAAGGAATTCAGTCCTAGAATTCATGTGGTAATTGTGGAAATAATTTACTGCCTCAAGGAAGAAAAGATATAACCCATTTCCTAAGACCATTTTAACTTGCAAGAAAGAAGAAATTGCAGATAGCACATCCACTTTTCAGTCTTTTTTCTATAATGGCCTAATGGGTAATCTTGCTTCTACACAGTGCAAGATTTTAGTTATTAATGTTTAATATTTCATTGATAATACTTTCTAGAATGAGTTGGTTTTCTTCGATGTTTTTCATTTTGTCCCTCTTCCCATGCTGCCTTTAGATTGGTTGTTTATGTTCATTCTCCATTTGAAATAGTAAGTGAAATGATGGTACAAAAAATTGGAGATAAGCAGAGAAACATCGCCTCAACATTTTTGTTAGCATTTGCTATTACATGGCTTAACTGTGGATTCATGACTCCTCAGATTGATCTGGAGCGACAGTTTTGATCGAGCTCGAATTAATAAATATTTTGAATTTAGTTGAAAAACACATTGAAGAAGAATAACCACTTTCCTAGAGTTGAATTCTGACAACATTATCTCTTAAATATATTAAATAGCTTTTCGTTTTTGCTGACTTTCAACTAAATGAAGCTGTCTGCACAAAAGGGATCAAATAAACCATGCCTTGTCTTAATACTTTTTGTCTGAAAAATGGAGGAAAAAGAACATAAGACTGTTATGTGCAGCTCACAACTTTTTTTTTTTAGGGTGTGGTGAAAAACCAGCTGCAGGTTATGGGTTGGCTGAATCTTCCATTCGTAAGTTCCAATTTCCCCACTCTTTTGGCACTAAAGGATGTCTCCTAAGATTACATTGCAAGGGTTGGTTTTTGCTGTCTAGGTGATACATTTAAACACTGGCATACAACCCTAGAACAACACTTAAGCATACAATCCTAAAATCATGCGACAGACTCACATGATTTTTTTATTTCTAATAAATTTTAATTAATAATATTGTGGTTTTTGAAAGATTGTATTAGAAAGTGTGTTTCAAACATTTTTCATCTGGGTCATACATGTAAATACTAGAATACAACCATTAAAAAAAACAATAGCATACACAAATAGCACTGCCAAATTGTCAACTTGGATAACCTTTTTATAGAGTTTGATACAAACATTCGCAGTTTTACATTCAACAACAGAGATAAGAAACGAAGGGTAATCATAGAAATACAACATAACTGACTATTGATAACACTCCCACAATATACCATTAATTAAGAATGTGTTATGACTTAAGCACATTAAGGGAGCCCAAATCATTAAGCATCTAATACTCAACGAAAACACCAGTTGTTATGACTTAAGCACATGAAGAGAGCCCAACCCAAAAGACTAGTCCACTAGGTCGAAGAACTTCAAGAAAAGAGAGAAAATGAAAAACGAAACTTGCACTAACTGAAAATAACTAACTCAAAATGAGTTTTCCCTCAAATTTGTCCCCAGAAAAAAAGAAATTTATAGATTTTGAAGTCAAGTTAGGCATTAAAATGTTAGTCCTAACATTTTTACGTGCATAAGTTAGAGATCATCAAGTTTCCCAATGTTCTGAGCGTAAAAACACAGCTCCTTAGCATTTTTATGTGCACCATGCAAAGTCAGGAAGATGCCTGGGTGTTAAAATGCCCATCTTAGGCCTTTTGACTCCCTATGATTAGTACCTGTCTTGATTTTTGTTGCTTTGAGCGTTGAGACGCTCATCATTGGCATGTTTACGCTTACGGATCTTGTTCCTACGCCCTCTTTTTGGTTCTCCTCACTTCTTTCAAAACATTCTATAAACAATAAATAAAAATATAAAGTAATTTACTAAAACTTTCCATATAGGTTCGTTGTCTTAAAATTGTTTCTCACACTTGGTGCAAATTTGGTTTTAAGTTCTGAAATGAAATATGAGATTTGGTAGGTTATGGTGATGGTTTCCAAAAATGATTGAACATGGTAGCTTAGGTTGGTTGGTTTTTATGTGTTCTTGTATTTCCTTTCAACTTTTTTGCTGAACTTTTGGACTTTCAAAAATCCATTTTGGCGGTGCAAGGTGTCGGTCCTTCATGAAGAATTCTTTTATTTCACTCATAGAATTATAACTAATAGAAAATAAAGTTTCTTGACTTTGAATTTTTTTACTATCCAATTAAATTGAAAATTTTATTTCAAGTAAGTTAAAAAAATCCAATCAAGTTTTATTCTGAGTTTTCCACACAATCTAGCAAATTACAATAAAATTCAAAGGTCAAGCAATAAATTAAAATTAATCCAAAAATCAAACTAGGTTGAATCTCCTAAAAATTAATTTTTCAAAGTTATTTTTATCTCAATTAAAATTTCTTATGTTTAATTTCACTCAAGGTTATAAATATTTAAGTCAATTAGCTCAAATTTCGACCTCATTTTCTATTTTTTTTCTAATTTAATACATTAATTTAGTATTTTAAAATTCTAATTTCACCTAAATACTAATCACAAACAAAAATAAAATTTTTCACACTATAAATTATTTCAATAGAATGAAATCAACGATGTTACAAAACAAACTAAAGAGTATGGTGAAAGGTAGTCTAAAATGACTCTCAATAGCAATAAAATATAAAAAATAATTATTGTCATAATTAGGCGTTATTTCAGAAGAAAGATAGTCAAAGTGAAAAAGATTATTTTCATATATACATACATATATATGCAGCTCATGTCAAACTTAAATAGTTATAATAATTAATAATTTATATGTCAAACTTAAATAGTTATAATAATTAATAATTTTTTATAAATTATTAATTATTATTAATTTCAATTGAATCTAAAATAATTCAAATTCTAATTTTAATTCTCACAATTATTTTTTCATTTAAACTTTTGTTTTAAAAATTACTAATTTTAGTCCCTAGTTGTCATTAAATGATGACGTGAGCGATTAATATTGTCCCACGTCAATTTTTATGCCACATGTTACTTTTCGGTGGACCCTCATCAATGAAAGGAATTAAAAATCAAACAATTTTTGAAAATATAACAAATTATAGATATAAACAAAAACAATTTGGTATATTTTGAACGACCAAAAAAATATTTAAAAGTAAAATTAAATACTTAATATTATCAACAAAATCATTCCCTATTATACTTTATTCTTTCTTAAAATACTAGGTTTTTCATTATTCAATAATATTGACATTTCTATTTTTATTTCTAAATTTTATTTAAATTTAAGAATACCCATATAACATGAAAAAGTGAAAGAGGTGACAATACAATATATTATAATGGCAGAATGGAGATAATTTTCTAAATGAGGCTGCTGCCCCTTTGAGATGCCAGGCGTCAGTAACACAGCCTAGACAGTAATAATACCAATTCTCTCTCCAATGTGGTTTTACCAGTTCCATGACTGAAAAAAAACAAGGAATAAGAAAGGGAATATACAATATACAGAAACTAAAATGACAATTTTGCACTTGTATCAAAGCATCGGTTTACAACTTTGCATAGTGTGGTATTAGATTATTATGTTAAAAAAGAAAAAGAATCATACAGTATAGAACCACCCTTGTATAATTTGCTTCCCTTGGAACACCTTCAAATTAATAAAATAGGATAATATGAATGCCAATATTGCATGAGAGAAGAGAGGGAGGCCTGTAACTATGTCTATAAGTCATTTAGATGCCTTGTGACCTTGTGTTTTGGTTTGGCTAGCTGCTGCAGACATAGTGCGCAAGCGACTGGCAATTTCTGTGAAGGATGGTCTGGCTGCAGGATTGGGTGCCCAACATTGCTCCATCAGTGTTCTCCATTCAGGATCACAGTCACTTGGGATGTTTGGCCTTAATGTGTTATTTACAATCCCGCCTGCATTTTTTTCCGGGGGGAAGGGGGACACATTAAATAATTAATGACATCAAGTTATAGCCGGCCACGTTTCAGCGGAGAATCACGTTTCTTGCCCACATAATTTATTTAAAAAATGCATGTTGTGTAACTCTCGGTGGATAAGTTAGGTTACAGTAGATAGAATTGATTAAGAGATGAAAAATTTTAAATTCTCTGTTGAGTATAATTGCTTTTATGTACCCTCCAAAAGTGATTCTACTTTACCAGTAAAACAAAAAGAAACCAATTCTTTTAAACTTACCTTCAAAATACCATTTCAATGTGAAAAACAAGAAGATAAACCGTAGATTCTATTCTACCATCCATATCTAATGTGTTGTTATTTCAATACAAAGAGGCTATTTCAAGAGGATGCAAAACAACTAAAGTTCAGGGTCTACCACAGTGAAGATAAAAGAAGGGCGTAAGGTATTTACCTATAATTGCACCGTAGTGCATATTGGCATATGGCTCCTCACCAGTCAGAATTTCCCATAATACTATGCCAAAGGAGAACACATCAACCTACAGAAATAAGAAAGAATGGTGACAAAAATAGATTTCAAGACTTTCCTTTCCAACTATGATTGAAGGGGTAAATCTCAAACCAATGTTATCAATGGTAGATGGCAGCTTACCGAAAATGCCATGGCACTGTCATAACGTTTTTTGACAACCATACAAACAAAAGGTTTTCAAAAGTAGTAAAAGAATGGAATAAGAGAAAATGTATGTTTAAAATTTAGAAAGGTCAAAAGACATAATTATAGCAGTTTCGCCCCCAGTAATATGAACTGGCAAATATAGTTTTGTTCCCACATGAGATGGAAATTTCAAGATCCAGAAAAGAAATCCATAAAACTAATTTCCTTAGTTAAATTTCAATTGAGGCAAGACATTGGAGAAAAGCCTATAAGCATTAACTTGAAATATTACCTTTTCTGAGACCTTGTTGCTGCTGCCATTCAGTAGCTCTGGTGCCATCCAAGGTAGAGTCCCCCGCACACCCCCAGTAACCAAGGTATTTCGTTTAATTTTTGATAAGCCAAAATCCCCAACCTGGGAAATAAAATTTCTTAGTCTTCCTCACACACACACAAAATTATTATATTTTATGCTAATAGAAAAATACTCCCAGTTTATATACCTTGCATATTGGCCGTAAAGGATCTTTCAAATTCACAAGCAAATTGTCACATTTTAAGTCAAAATGCACAATGTTTTTTGAGTGCAAATATTCCATTCCAAAAGCTGCATCCATTGCAATTATCAGCCTCTTGCGGCGATCAAGATACCTAAAAAGTAAAAATCATGCTAAGACTTCAGCCAAATTCATCAAGAAAACTGAACAAGAGATTCATCACTTGAACATTCTTGCTGACACAATAAACTTTAGTGGTGCCTATTACTTAAGTCTCTACCAAATGATGAAAGCTATCCTAACACATACTCATGCCTTCCATCCAAGACATAAGTTGTCACTAGGACAATTTCATTTGATCAAATTTCAGGCAGTAAGATGCTTTGATTTTATTCTCTATAATAAAAATGCTAAAGCTATTTTCAAATGCATTACTTATCCTTGTGAAGTAATACACGCCTAAGAGAACCATCCACCATGTATTCTGCAACAGTGGCCATCGTTCCTCCTGGTCCATGCTGTACCACACCATAAAATGCAACCACATTTGGATGATGAAGCTTGGAAAGAATGTCTGCTTCCCGCCAGAACTCTACAGTCTGGAAAAATAAGCAAATATCATCTTGCCTCAAAATATATCATTATTATTAAAAAAATTTAATAATCATAACACAAGAAGCATGTTTTTATTTGATTTTAACAAAAAAAACATAAAGCACACTATTCACCAAGAATTAAATAACAAGCTACCAGTCTCTCTTGCTCAGATGATCGGCCGGTGAAGCAGCTCTTCTTTATTCTTTTAATAGCAACATCTGTTCCCCTCCATTTTCCATGATACACAGTCCCAAATGTACCAGAACCTAGTTCTCGCATCTCTTCAAGATCTTCATTCTTAATGACCTAACAATTGCATCAAAACAACAAATAAATGATGTAAAAAATAATGCCAATGGCATAGAATGTTGGACTCCAAAGTGCCTTCAAGAGAAAAAAAAAATATATATATATATAGTGAAGCAACAATGAGAATGTTGATGCGGATGAACAGACATTCAAGAAAATATAAGATGAGTAATTGAGGTTAGGCAAAATTTGGACTGTTCAAACAGCACTTATATTGAGGAGAAGACAAGAGAAACCTGCCTAAGGTGATCTGGTAATGAGGGAGACCAACAGACACTCTAGTTCCCAAAGCATGTCAAATGAAAAAAATTTCAATTAAAAAGAAGAGTAGAGTATCAGGTCCCATGAACCTAAGTTGACCAGTCCAGTCCAACTCAGTCATGGGCCTTGGATTTGGAAAACATATAGGAAGAGAAATAAGAAGGGGAAGAATGGGAATTAGATAGGGAAAACAGTTATGGGAGAGCAATTGACAGGTAATGCTTCATATAGTCGGGGAGCGTAGAGAGAGAAGGAAGTTTTGCTTTTCTATTAGTAGTAGGCAAGGTGTGAACCTTTGTAGGAGCATTGCTCTGGGTAGTGCAGAATTTATTCTGCAGTATTTTCTTCCTCGTGAATAATACAATTTGTATATTTTCATTTTGATCTTCGACAATTGGTCCAACTTACCAGATTCCTAATCAGAGAGCGGTTAAGGGAGCTGTATTCCTAAGCATCAAAAGGGAGTGGGACCAGCCCTGGAAGGTCATTTGAGTTCATTGGAGAATCTAGTTCAAAAGTTTGCTGACAAGTAGGAAAATTTGCAGTTGGATTTGTATAATGCAGTTTTCATCATGAAACAGATGAAATCACACTTGGCATGAGGTTTGTCCCTTGATCAGAATGCGCTGCCAGTCTTTTTTTGTTCTCAACATAAACTGATGGAGTTCTGTTGGGCCAACAAACACTAGAAAATTCAGCAGAGGAGCAGAAGTTGGCAGAGATTCAGACTGCAGTAAAGAAGGTCAAGCTTTCGAGGTTTGATGATACTGACCCAAGTGCTTGGGTTACTTGACCTGAGACATACTTTGAGGTTCAAGACACTCAGTCAGAGGTAACGGTGCTACTGGCCAAAGTTTCCATGGAGGGGCCTATGGTCCATTGGTTCAATCTATGGATAGAAAATGAGTCAAAGCCATTGTGAGATAAGCTGATAGCAGTCTTCTTCGGAGGTATGAGGTTTGTATTCATAAATTTGATAACAAGGTGAGGATGAAATTAGTAAGAGCATTAAGGCTGACTTGTTAAGGGACAAGCAGCATAAACTAGCATATAGGAGAGGCTCAAATACAGGGAATGGTGGTTACTCATGCTCTGTTTTCATGCTTTGGAACATAGCCTTTGCGGAATAGAGTTTTGAAAGGAGAAAAGGAAGTTTGAAGGTTCAAGTCTGGGCAATTTTGGGGTTGGAGAAAGGCAATCCAATAGAAGGAAAGAATGCAGATTGTGTCACTTATCATACAATGAACTAATGGAAAGCAAGCAAAAGAGATTATGTTTTAAATGTGGCCAGAAATTTCACCCTATGCATCAGTGCTCTGATGACAACTTAAGTTAATCATTGTGGATGATGAGCAATCGGAGGATTGAGAATAGGAGGTATTAACCTTAGAGATGAAGGAGCATGTCATCGGAGAGCTGGAATGTTCTACTCTCAGCAGTTACGCAATGGACGGAGGAGTTGGATTTCCACCCAAAACCATGAAGATAAAAGGGAAAATCAAGGTAGTTTCATTGGTAATTTTAGTTGACAGTGGAGCTTGACATAATTTCATTTCAATGAAAGTTGTGGAGTCCTTGGGGTTAGAGCATGGCAACACCAAGGCTGCAGTTAGATTATGAGATGAGAACCAAAAGCGGGTGCAAGGGAGGTGCAGAGAGTAGTGGTTGAGTTGGAAGACTTGTAGATATGCATTGATTCTTAGGTGTTCAATATGAAAGCAATCAACTTGATTTTTTGGGGTGTCCAGTTGTTGGCTACATTGGGAGAAGTAACCACTAATTGGAGGCAGCAGATCACGAAATTTGAATGAGAAGGAAAGAGCATTGAATTGAAGGGTAAGCCTGTCCTTGGAGGAAGAAATGGCTCTCTTTTCAGCTTTCTAATTCAAGAATAGCAAGAAAGAAGTTGAGCGGTTTGTCTGGTCCACCAAGCCCCAAAAGGCAATGGGACTTGGTGCAGAAACTGAGCCCTAAGCAGGAAAAGGATGTGCAGCTAATTTTATAAGAACTCTCAAAGGTTTTCCAAAAGCCAAAAGGGTTGCCTCCCAAGCAATCTAATGAGCATATTACCACTTTAAAACATGGGGAAGGACCGGTGAATGTTTGACATTCGTAACCCCATTATCAAAAGGCCAAGATAGAGAAATAAGTGGAGGAACTACTAATTCAAGGAAAACCAAACCAAGCACAAGTGCTTATGCTAGCCTAGCGCTATTGGTGAAGAAGGACCTTACATGGAGAATGTGTGTCAATTAGAGAGCTATAAATAAAGCCACGGTTCTTGACAAGTATCCAATACCAATTATTGGAGAGTCATAAGATGAGTTGCTTGGAGCTTTTTACTTCTCAAACTTGGACTTAAAAGTCTAGTTATCACCATATTCAGGTAAGAGAAGATATTCCTTAAAAAAAACATTTAGGACTCATAATGGACATTATGAATATTTAGTTATGCCATTTAGGTTGATGAATTCCACAGCCACTTTTTAATCCTTGATGAATGATGTGTTTAGGCATTGCCTGAGTATACAGCACTGATTGGAGCTCTCATATCCATCATTTGAGGCATGTTTTAGGTTGCCTTCATGATCCTGAGTTGGCGGCAAACCAAAAGTGTTAGTTTCACAGGCAAGGGATAGAGAATGTCAGCCATCAAGTTTCAGCAAAGGACCGCCGATCCTAAGAAAGTTAAGGGGGTGTTAGACTAGCCAATTCTGAAGTCTATAAGAGGAGTTAGATGTTTCCATGGACTGATTGGGTATTATAGAAAGTTTATTAAAGATTATGGCAAAGTTGTCAAACCCTTAATAGACCTCATTAAGAAAGGGGACTTCTGTTGGGGTAAGGCAACACAAGTGGCTTTTGATGAGTTGAAGAGAATTATCACTAAAGCACCAGTTTTGAGGCTTTTGGATTTTACCAAGGAATTTATAATTGAATGTGATGCAGCACGAAAAGGTTAGGAGCAATTTTGAAGCAAGACAGCCTTTAGCCTATTTTACTAAATCCCTTTCAGAGGAACACTTAGCTAAGTCCGCTTAATCACAAAGAACTCATGGCATTTGTCTTGTCAATTCAACACTGGAGACCTTATTTATTGGGAAGGCAATTTAAAGTTTTTTCTAACCGATGAAGTTGGAGGCAGTTGCTGCAGCAATTAATCACCACCCCAGACCAATAATGCTGGCTTCCAAAATTGTTCGGGTATGATTTTAAGGTGATTTACAAACTTGGCATTGAAAACAAGGCTGCAAATGCTTCCAACGTTACTCCACAAGTTTCATAGCAGCCCAGCTGGTGGGCATTTGGGGTATTTTAAAATTTACAAATGGTGGCTGAAAACATTTACTAGTGTGGGATGAAAAAGAGAGTTCAAGAATTTGTTAAGGAATGTGATATTTGTCAACGGCAAAACTATCAAGCTCAATCTCCTGTAGGATTGCTTCAGCTGTTAGATGTTCCTGAGCAAATTTGGGAGGATATAAGTCTTGATTTTGTTACTTCTTTACCAAAGTCCAACAGATTCAACACAATTTTGGTGGTAGTGGACCGTCTCTCCAAATGTTCCCATTTCATTCCACTTAAACACCCATTCACAGCAAGGCCAATAGTTGATTCTTTCAATAAGGAAGTGGTTAAAGTCCATGGAATACCCAAGTCTTGATTTTATTACTGCTTTACCAAAGTCCAAGGGATTTGACACTATTTTGGTGATAGTGCACCGTCTCTCCAAATATTCCCATTTCATTCCACTTAAACACCCATTCACAACTAGGACAATAGCTAATCCTTCCACTAAGGAAGTGGCTAAACACCATGAAATCCCCAAGTCCATCATGATCAGTGTTGTTAAATGGCGGCCATGGCGGCACCATGGCGGAATTCGGTGGTGGTTTTTGACCCTGCCGTTATAGCGTTACCGTTTTTTGGCGTTTTTCAATGGCAGCGCCATGGCGGCCGTTACGCGCATGGCAATAACGGCAGCCATGGCGGAAAATGTAAAAAAATATCGTTTTTGTGGGAAAAATTGAGTTGGGCCATTGATTGGACCTGCTCCAAAAAGATAATCCGTGAGCCTAAACCTTAAATCACATATTTTCTTCCTTTCTTCATTGCTGTTGTGCCACTGTGGAGCGTCGGTGGGCTATTGTGCCGCTGTGGAGCGGCGGTCCGCCACCTGCTGCTGCTGTGAAGTATTTCTTCGCAGGGGTTAAGCCCTAGTTGTAGTGTCTCGGTGTGGGTGTTGAAGTGTAATAGAGAAAGAGAGCGAAATTCCAATCTTGCTCTTGTTTTATGTATTTTAGGGTTTTTAAAGGGCAAAATAGATAGCAAAATTCCAATCTTGCCCTTGCTTTATGTATTTTAGGGTTTTTTAAGGACAAATAGACTTTTTCCACTTAAAATTTTTACCTTCTCTTCTCAAGCGGTAAATTTTCTGAAGGGTAAAATATTTAGGGTTCTCTACACTATTTTTCTTCCTTCTTCTCTAAAGCCAATTTCTCCTTCATCTCGTTCACCATTTTCGCCGGAGAAGACATCCTTTCCGGCTGTTTTCCGGCATCTGTGAGTGGAAGGCCCTGTTTTCCGACGTCCATTTTCTATTTTGTGTCTCTGGGCTCTGCCCCTCTTTCTTAGTTTTTTCCTCTCCTATTTTTTTTTTTCAGTTCTGTTTTTCCCTCTCCCACTCTGTTTTACTCTCCCATTTTTTTCGTTTTTCCTTATTATTTTATTTTCTTGATTCTATTTTTCTGTTTTCACTTCCAAGTTTCCTTCTCCATATTTATTTTAATTCTCTACTTCCTTTTATAACTTCAGTTTTTTTTCACTATTGTACAACCATTTTATTCTTTTTTTCTCAAAACCTTCTTTTTATATTTAGTTAATTTTCTAGTTTTATATCACATTTTGCAATATATATATATATGACCGCCATAACCCGCCATGGCATCCACCATAATTTTATAGCAGTTTTTTTGTTTTCTGCCGTGACCCACCATCCGCCATTGATAACATTGCCATCATCAGCGACCAAGATCCTTTATTCCTCAATCACTTTTGGAATCAACTGTTTCAATTTAACAGCACCAAGATGTGCTTGAGTTCCTCATGACATCTAGAAACAAACGGGCAAACAGAGATAGTTAATAAATGTATGGAAATGTATTCACATTGCTTTTGCTCTGAACTGCTGAAGAATTGGAGTTGCTGGTTGCATTGGGTAGAATGGTGGTACAATACCACTTTTCATGCCACTACTGGGGTCAGCCCTTTTCAGGCTATGTAGGGTAGGAAACCCCCTTCTTTGGTGCAATTTGTTTTAGGAGAAACTAAAGTAGGATAAATGGAAAGAGAATTAGTTGATAGGGATGAAGCACTCACAATTGAGATATCACTTGCAGCGAGCCCAAGAGCATATCACGAAATTTGCTAATAAGAGGTGGTTTCAGTGATTCCTCAAACTAAGGCCTCGTAGGCAGCATAGCACTGTTCAGAGAATTAATCCTAAACTGGCTGCGGGGTTCTATGGCCATATCAAATTGAAAAGCAGGTGGGTACAGTGGCATACCAGCTGAAACTTCCGCCTCAATCTAGGATCCACCCTGTTTTCACATTTCTCAACTTAAATAGGCAGGGAAAATTAGAGCTAGAAGCCTAGAAGTGCCTGCAAACATAGTTTCTGACAATATTTTTGTAGTTCAATACAAACAGAAAAGAGGGGTATTGTTTCCTTATTTGTTAATTGATGTGTTCAATACATGTATTAGTTTTAAAGTTGCATTTCTATTTAAATCATACATAATCATAGTAGTTGATCCTAGATAGCGATGCGGAGCAGCCAACCCAACGCCAAAAATGCTATAGCGGGATAGCGAATAGCAAGATGCCACTAGTCTGAAGTTACAAATACACTAAATATAAATTATGCTACACACACAGATATATGTGTGTGTGTGTGTTAAAAAAACAAAATTAATAACCAAATTAGGATCATTTGGAGGAGTTCAAAGAAGAAAAACAGAGCAGAACAAAGAAGACAATCAAAACAAAGAAGGAAAAAGATAATAAAAAATGGAGTGGTCAATCACTGAAAAAAGCTTTAACGCAGATGGTCTTGCAGGAAAACATCTCAGTATCATTGAAAAACATTTGGGTTACGCTGGAAATAGCTTGGGTTTTGCCAAAGATGAAGAAGACAAACAGAAAACGTCTGGGTCATCTCGAAAATAACTTGTGTTACACTCGGGATGAAGAAGATTGGAACTAGCTGAAAATGGTAATTCACATCAGAATGTGACTTTGAAGATGGAGGATGAGAGAACAAAACAGGACATATGGTTCGATCTCGATTGGTGAAGACAAAGGAGAAGCGCAGAAAATAGCAATGTAACGGGGGAATCCCAAGATTACCCCCCTTAAAAGCATTCCACCGTTATAAAAGGGCAAACTTGGCTTTTTTCCTGTGTGATATAGCGGCGATGATGGCCATGATTTTCATCTTTTGCAGCCGCAATTCATGGTACAACAGCCGCTACACAGAACTGCAACCAGTGTTGTCAAATGGGAGCCATGGCGGATGGCAGTGGCTTGGCGTTTTATGACATTTTCCGGTGGCGGCACCATGGCGGCCATTATGCAGATGGCAGTAACGGCGATAATGATGGCCACGGCAGAAAAATGGCAGTTTTTAAAGAAAAATGGGTTTTTTTGGCAGAAAAAAGGGGTTGGGCTGTGGATCCAACCCAGCCCAAAGCAAGAACCTGTGAGCCCAACCCTAATAATCTTGCCTCTCTGCTTCGTCTCTCACTTCTCTCTTCTTCATCTCTGTTTTCTCTCTTCTTTGTTCTTCATTCGGGGCTGCTCCAACTCCTGTTTTTCCGACTAGTGACAACTGTTCCATCTCTAGTGACTCCATTTTTTCCGGTAGCTTTTTTTTTTCATTTTTCCCTTTTCCTCTTTCAGTTTTTCTTTATGTCCCTCATTTCAGTTTTTCCCTCTCCCACTTCTCAGTTTTTTTTTCTGTTTTTCCTCTCGATTTTTCAGTTTTTCTATGCTTAGAAAATATGTATAAATAGCATATGAATAGTTATCAGCAAAAGACATAAAGAAAAGAAAGAAAGAGGATTTTTTGGGAGAACATAACAGAGGCAGGATTGTAGAATCATAAAATAGAGAGAAGAAAGGAAGTGGATTTTGCCAAAGAAGTCATCGAAGATGAGTGACTCGCTGGATTGGAGATTGTTGCAAAGCAGAACAGAGACAAAATGAGAGGAGGGAGCATCAAACAGAGAAGGGGAGAAGAAAAAAAGTGGAGAAAAAGTGGGATTTCATCATGTGTTTCCAATTGGCAGAACAGCAGTAGAGATGAGAGGAAGGGGTGTCAAAGAGAGAAAGGAAGTAAAACATGGGAAAAAGTGAGGTTAGGTCTGAAAACTCAAAAGACTAGTATACCTTAAAAAAACATCATGACTGTGTCATCTTAAAGGAAAAAAGGAAAAATCAACTTATTTCTAAAAGATTAGAAGTCTTTTTTAGCCTTAAAAAAACCCTAAAATTCCTTCGTTTTGAGGGTAGAAAATGAAAGTTGGTATCTTTCTCTGTGGTGGCACTATTGCACAGCGAAAGGATGCGTTTTGGGCCGTTAATACAGCGGCAATGGTCACAATGGCCACAGCAGCAAAAACGCTCCACTATGTCAAATCTGTGGCAGTCGAAGGTTGTTTTGCCTCGCACTGCCGCTATCATGTGCCATTGACAACTATGCTATACACTAGATATATTTTCTTCCAATTGATACTGCATCCCAACCAACCCTATTACTAAAGAAAGCAAAGAGAGCTAAGGGAAAAATCCTCTAGAAAAATGTAAATGCAAACAAAAGAAAATTTTCCAAATGCTTCAACTAAAAAATATCATGCACAAAAGCCTCTCACTCTTACACTGAAAAATGCCCTAATCACACATTCCACTAAACAGTGCATGAATCTCCCAGTAAAGATTAAGTTTGGCCTCAACATCATACATTTTACTTTTAGGTTTAAATATATTTCTAGTCCCTACAGTGTATATCAATTTTGGTTTTGATTCCTACGCTCTACTTGAAAAGTTTATTTTTTAGTCCATATAATCTTAAAAAATTGGTTTTAGTCTCTATTACTAAAAAAATGCCAATATATAGTTCATGCAAGGTACAATCATTTGGATTGGACCAAGGGACCAAAATCTAACTAGAATAAAACTATAAAGACCAAAACCAAAATAAAATTATAAGGACCAAAACTTAGCTAAACTTATAAAACTACTAGGACCAAAAACCAAATTTTTTAATAGGAACCAAATCCAAAATCCAGGTAAATTATAGGGACCAAAAATAAGCCTTATTTTTATGCTTAAGACCACGTCCAAAGGCAATGGTCCTCCTTTTTGGTTCTATGTAAGTCAGGTCAGCTTGCTTCTACATATTCTTTTGAGAAGTAAATTTCAAAAAATATTCATGATGCAAAGAAACCAACTATTACTGATCCAATTATGCAAATAAATACTACAAATACATAAAAGTACAGTTGCAGAGTTGCCTCTGTTATTTTTGACATATTTTCAGTAACTTATTGTCGAATATGTGATCAACAGAGATACCACCTTATGTACACACACACAGGCACACACATATATTATGTTGTTGTACCCATATTTATAAAATTGTCATATTTGTGATTGTGAATTGTATCATAGGCAATACACATATTGTAACCAAGCAACATAGTTTTTTATCATATATTAATACATAGACTAACAATCGATTAACAAAAGTTTAACAAAAGTCAGATAATACGCAACTAACTTTCCAGCAGCTGAAAGGTTTTTCAGGAAGGTGGCAGAGGCTTCAGTCTGTCAAAAATATCAAATCATCTTCCATGTATAATCAAAGTAGTTCTTAATACTTACATAATCCTATCAATGCACACCTATTGTACATCAAATTACATAACAAGTTTCTTAATAGAAGAAAATCACAGCAAATAAGAAATGTAGCAGGAACAAAAACAGGATTTTACCTGCACAGTACTGATATCAATATCTCCTAAAGATGCAAGCGGAGGTAGATTGCTATTTTTGGTATCAAACTTGCCATCCTAAGTGCAGGCATAAGATTTTTTGTTAAGTGGAAAAGAATATCTATGCAACCCTAGACTAAAAAGGAAAAAAGGTAAAACCAAATCATACCTCAAACTCTGACTCTTGTGTTTGCAGATTTTCCATCATAGCATCAAACTGCATGCTTTCTGAGTCCTTGAGTTGGGATGGATCATAATTGGACTTTGAAACAGTGGTTTCAGTTCCAGTTCTTCTATGCAAGTCCTCATGATTTTCATCACCAAAATTGAGGTGGGAATCTTCATGATGTAGAGGAACTCCATCAGTGGTTAGTGGCATAGCAAGATGAGTTTGATTATCTCCTGCTTTTCCTATCACAGGTGAAAAAGCAAGATGATCCTGATCAATAAGAGAGACATTATCAAGCCCTTCTAGAGCTAACTTTTGAAAATATGACCATCGTTTAGGTTCATGATTTTCCATATTTATGCTTAAGCCTACTCCATCTGTGGATAGTGGATGTAGACTGGAGGAATCTTCTCCAAGTATTGCTTTAGAAAACATATCAGAAAGCAATTCACGGGGAAATCGATCATCAATATCAATAAGAATGTCACCTTGTGCTTGTTTGGAAACCACATTTGGGGAGAAATCATGATAAACATCCTTGGTTATGTTCCTTGTTAAAGAAACAGGTAGTTCGTGAACAATACAACTATCACTAGATTCCTTCTCGGAGGCTTCACCCCAATCAATCTCTGGAAGATTGGATGCTGGGTCATCAAGATGGTTATCAGATAAAACATGATGCAAAGCAGGGAGATCTGATTTACCATCTTTGGTTTTGATTTTGGATTCAGTTTCATCAACCAAAGATTTGGTGTGGTTATCTTTATGATAATTTTCAGTTTCCACATCTTCAGTTCCTTCATTGCTTGGTAAAACCGGCTTCATCAATTCAGAATCTGTGAGCTCTGATAGATTTGACTTAATCAGACTGTTTGCATCTGGTGATGGTTTGCTCAATTGATTTTTGGAAAACCCATTTTCAGTGGTATGGCCTGCTGCTAGTAAGGGCTTTGCTGTAATACCCAATTCCTCAGTTGGATTTAACATTTTACCATCATGCAAGCTGTCACCAGATCCTGTTACTGGATCCTCTTGGTTGACATCAGAAAGTAAATCTGACACATGAATCTTAGAACTGTGAGTGTCATCTGACTTTGAGGACTGATTCAGCAACTCTACTTGCTCCCTCGGAGTTCTTTCTGAATAGTAAACTCTTTTAGGAACTGGAGGAGGATGAAGACAACTCAAATCAATTGCATTGGAGTGGGAATCAACATAAGGGGGAACAAATGCACTGCTAGATGTAGAAGAGGCCTCTTCATAATCTTGGTGCTGAACCTCTTTGGTTGCAGGCAATGAAGGTAGATGCCCCTCAGGCATGGTAACTACAATTGATGCTTCAGGAAAATTATTTTTCAAGCAACTATCAAAGGGCTGTGAGGGAGTTGGGGATGGGGTTTCCAAGGATAAAACATTACCTGGATCACTCCCTTGTTTAACTGAACTATCACCTGTCTTTTTCACCTGCATTGTAGTTAACTCAGAATTTTGTATTTGTAATCCACTGGGAGAATATTCTTCATTCAGAACTCCTTGTTGACTATTCAGCAGATGAGGAGCCATAGGAATAGGAGTCTCTCCAACCACAGGGTTCTGCATGGGATTTAGGCCATGGTGAACAAGATAGTGATGACTAGTTTCCCCAACTTGCATCATTTGGTCACCATAAGACAGTGGATCAGTTTCATAAGCATTTGAAGAAGTAGGTAGAACTGGTTGTGAAGAATGAATAGTCAATGAAGAGTCAGATTTGTTAGTCAAGGGAGCATTGCTGACACCTACAGATTCTACAGCAACTCTACTAGTCCCCCTCTCCATAGTTTGCCTGTCAAATTCATGTATATCATCTGTTGAAAAGTTAACACCAAGTGGGGTTGAGTTGTTTCTTGATCCCAAGTCCATGCCATTAATAGCAACAACATATTGGACCTCAGAATCATCATCGATGCTACTGAGAGCAAACTGAGCATCTTCCAAATCACTCATTGAGAACAAAAATAACCTAAGCTTTTGCGAGCGTTCTCTATCTTCTAGAAGATTACATTCCTCCATCATATTCTGCAAATCCTCATCAGATGATACTGATACCAAAGCATCAAGATCTTCCCCAGGAAGTTGATACTTTAATACTCGAACCAGATTATAGATTAACAAAGCTTTCTGCATAAACTCCTGCCAAGATATGTCCTTTCTTATACAAAGAATACGAGTTTGACCTCCAACATACCTTAGTTTTCCATCACTTGGTCGTGGTAATATTCTACCACCAAAGCTACAGAGACACTTCATCATCATTGATGAGCTATCAGAACCAACAGAAGAGCCATACCCACGTACAAATCGACTATCCTCCCGATTCAATGAAGTTCTTGGTATTGATCGAATAGACCCATAATTGTTTCTGTCTCCATGTAAAGATGCACTCCGTCTGTTAAACTCAGTTGGACCTTTCTCAGCCCTTGTGGGCATAGAAATGTCTGACCCACTTTCAGATGCTGCATGACTGATGCCTAAAACGCCTTTCAGTTCCATAAAACCAGTTGTATAATTGGAATTGGAATCACTAGCATTTGAAAACACAGGCTTTCTGAGATTCACCCTATCTCGCATAAATTCAAGAGCAAATTCCTCACCTGTTTGTATTGAATAATTAAGTACTGGTTTAACATCGGATTTGTTATACTCAGATGGTCTTCTAATAGTATGTATGCCATCCATATGGTCCTGCATTACTGAATGAGATCCAGGCAGGAACTCCTGTTTTCTAGGTTCCTTGGTATTGCATTGTTGCTGTTTGTAGAATCTTGATTGTTCCATTATTCCATATTTTTTTCTTTTTAAGAGAATAATTCATTAAGAAACCGAGACAAAAGTAAGTTCTAGATGTTTAGTAATTCTTAGACACCATTCAAAATGAGAAAAATCTGAAATCTTTGAACCTCTCAAGACAAGACCAACTATTTTGTGCTTCCATAATGCAACTAACTTGTATTGCAATTTCCCTGCAAACAAAATGGAATCAAGGCAGAAAGTTTAAGGAACAAATTAAAATGCAAAAATATGGTCACTGTACATGGAAACAAATGGAATACACGTCTATGTTCAACCATAACTGCTAAGTTACATATTGGTTGCCTGGATATTTTCTAAAAACAATATTAAAAAATCATTATGACATCATGTAATTTATGAGCAGCATAAACGACATAGAATCTTGAAACTGAACCATATTTTGGCAGTAGAACAACACTATTTGGTAGACAACTCTTCCTGGTTTTCCATGGGTAGAGGACCATTATGTCTCTGAAGTGTGGCCATAAAACTAGATATTAACATCTCATAGCTCATATATATGACAAAATATTTGATAACCAGTTTTCATCTGGGAATGACTGTAATGACAATACATCAATGTCACAACAACTAACAAGTGACAAATTTCAATGTAAATTGACTAGAAGTTCTAAATAAATTGCACGCACACACATGTCATGTAACTGCAGAATTTGTAAGCTCAGCAATCAAATTAGCCCATCTAATTTTTATGCAATGAATTTCACTACCATAAGGTAATTTAATGATCTTAGCACACCAGAAAGACACATAATCAACACAAGATTATCATCAACTAAGCCATGGATGATAACAGTTGAACTTCATACTGAAGCAAAATCCCGAAAAAAAAAAGAAAAAGTAATCACCATCACAGCAAGAATAGAAAACAGAACATGAAAATGAATCTAGCTACCCGATGAAGAGGGAAAAACCAATTTTTGAACCGGAAAGAGAGGTTTCAGGGGAAAACCGAAAGAACCAATTTTGGGTCTCTCTCACTTTGGCCCATTACGCTATCTCTTCAGACTGTGCTTCTGCTTCGACCCTTTTCCCAAAAAATGACGGCACTTTCTCTTTCTCTCTCTAGAACACGGAAATTTTGCTCTCTTAAGTATTTATCTGTGTGCCGCTTCAAGAGAAATTATTTGAGTTGAGAAACACCTTTGGATATTTTGTGAAGTTACAAAAAGATCCTTCATATTTGTGGTTATTACTGCACACCATTGTCACGTGCGATAACCCCGCTCACTAACCGCAAATATTAGAGGTACTTTCTAAATCCAGGTAAAATGGTAAAAAATTTAATAAGGTATTTCATAAAAATATTGTAAATATTTTTTTAATTTAAAACAATCTTTTTAAAAAAATTTAATTAAAATAATTTTATTTTAATAATAATTTACAAATATACTCTATTAATTATGTTTAATGTGAATTGAAAAATTTATACGTTGATTGAAGAAATTCTTCAGATTGAATAATATTTTATAAAAAATAAAATATATATCATAAAAATAACATATACTCAATGAGAAAATATATAGAAAGAATATTCTACTTTAAAAAATAATAATTCATATTTAAAATATAAAATGTTAATAATATTTCTTTTCTAAATAAGTATTTTGTCTTAAAAATATACACGTTTTTAGAATAATTTTCTATAAATTTATTTTGTTGCTTTTCATTTTACAAATATTTAATTTATTTAAAAATAAATTTAGCATTAATTAAGAGTTATTAAATAATATTAAGCAAATAATATTGACTGTAATACTTGTTATAATCATAATAACTTTAAATGTGACAAGATAATGTTGAGTGTTAAATTACATGCAATTTATATGTATTGTTCACATTATTTATAGTTATGAAATTGCTAATTTCTACTGATAGTAATGACATTACTTAATTATTATTTTGTATCATTTTGTAAACAAAGAATTATTAATATTTAAAATTATTTTCTTCTTGCTATTATTAAAGTGGACATATTTTATGAACAGTTTTTTTATTTAATTAATATATATTTAAAAACTAATTCTCAAACTAATATTTTTTTAAAACTAATTCTTGGTGCAATTTTTTGTCATGTCATGATCAGTATCAACCATGCACCAACTATAGCCTTATTTTTATTATTTTTTAATACTATATCGGCCACTTTGATCTGATATTACTCCAATAAGTGACACATGGACATAAAAAATTGACAAAAAATAAAATAAAATAATAATAATATAAAAAAAGGACGATAGTCATTATTTTATTATTATTTTACATTCTATCGACCACATTTGATCGATACTTGTCTACCTGGTGACATGTGTCGAGAAGGTAGTAGTATTGCACATAAGTGGATGATAGCGTTGTCGATGACCAATATGCGTCAGTTTTATCGCTTTGATTGAGATGATACTGCTGTTGTCCTGACACATGACGCGATTAATCTTTTTATCCATTGATTTCTTACTATGTAGTAGTTATTGTCCATTTTCACTTGCTATATATATAGAGAGTGAAGGTTCCAAAATTGCAATCCATGATGGAGGAGCTGGAGAATATATATTTGAGGTTGGTAAATTTTGTTATTAATTTTATAATATTTTTGTATTAATAGTGTAAAAATTTATTATAAAATTTAAATTAATTTGTAATAATTTATTATTTATAATTGGTAAAATAATTGTAGATTTTAATTGTTGGTAGGTATGTATTTTTATATTTTATTATAATTGATTTATGGAACAAAATTAGGAGAAAAATTGTGATAAACATGTAAAGTGTAAATTTTGTAATAGGAAAACCACTGTATTGTAAATGTAATTATTGTTGTAGTTGTTAATTAAATATAGAAATACTAATTTCTTATTTAATAGCATTTGAGAAGAATATTTGTAGAAATTATGTATATTAGGATGCACAAGTAGGTAATAAGTTATTATATATTTTGTAACAAATAAATATGGAAGTTTTGAAAATTTTAAAAAATGATTAATATAATTGAATGAAGCATAATCAATTATTAAAATGTAGAAAAATGTGTGAAATTTTGTAGTTGTAATTGAAATATGGATGGAGTCATTTGTTATTAACAATTAAATAAATATATATGTTCTAATTGAGTAGTATAATTTGTTTATGCAGGATGACTGATTTGTGATCATTGTATATTGGAACGATCGAGTATTTTTAAGTAACAAAAGTGTTACAGTTGAAAAAAATAATAAAATGATTAAGATTAAACGTAGAATAAGTTTGGAGACATTAAAAAGAAAGATTCATGCAAAACTGAAACTGTCTACTAATCAGGTTATATCTAGATTGATTTCACAATTTTTCGTAGACCCTATTGTTAGACAATACACAACTATAGATATATGTGATAATGAAGATATTGATTGCATGTTAAGTCTTTTCTACAACTAAATCAACAAAGTGCAATTGAAGTATATGCAAATATTGCGTCGATTGAGAATTCTTGTATTCAATCACAAGGTGTGGACTTATATTCTCTGATGAAAATTTATATTCAATTTCATTGTAAGTATATTTACCTAACAATAAATGTCATGATTGTGTAGAATGTGAATATGAGAATAAGAATGTTGATGACAATGAAATTGAATGGGGGATCCTGAAGAAAATTCATTTGATTTTGATTTAAAGGGTGCAATTCATAGTAGCTTGAATATAAGTGATAATGCAAGAGTCGAAGGTATTAAGTATATTAATCTGTTATAAAATATGTTTCAATAACAATGTAAATAACTTGATTGTGTTGTTATATGCAGGCTTGGTTGAAACTCTCCTTTGGAATTCAAATCCACATTACACCTATATTAACTGGGAACATGCTGATGAAGAAATGGAAAATATAGATATTAATCCTGATCAAACATGGATGGAGAGTGATGCATTATTTGTTGGCCAAATGTTTGAGTCTAAAGAAGATGTTAAAATGGCTAGTAAAAGCTTTGTAATGAAAACACATCAAAGTTATTTTGTGATAGAATCAAAACCAACAAAGTTTCATGTGAAGTGTCCAAATCATACAACAGGATGTCCTTGGAGGGTTAGAGCAACTTTGGACAAAAATTTTAACAAATGGAAAATCACAAGGTGTGGTGGTGCACATACGTGTGTTTAAGTAATGATGTCTCTTGACCACCAAAAATTAGATTTAGACTTTATTTGCAATTGCGTTCTCAGTAAGTTGCACCAATTTATCTTAATAGTTTGATGGTTCTATATACTATTCAAGAACATTATACATAATTATATTGTTCTTTGTAGGTATGGTAAAAGAACAACCATTGGTGCCAATCACATTAATTCAAGAAATAATTAGTGGTCAATTTGGCTATCAAGTTTCTTATAAGAAAGCATGGAAGGCAAACAAAAAACTATAATGATTTTTGGTAATTGGGATGAAGCGTATGCCACATTGTTCAGATAGTTGAAGTATATGCAATTACATTTATCTAGGTCAGTATACAAAATTGAAACCAATGACTATGTGAAAGATCACCAAGTGGATAACAGATATAGAGTGTTTTATCGATTATTTTGGTCATTCAAACAATGCATCACTACTTTCAACTTTTGCAAACCCTTAATATAGATAGATGGTACATTCTTGTATGGTAAGTACCGACAAACTTTACTGATTTACTGCATAAGATAGAAATAATTGTGTCTTTCCAGTTGCCTTTGTCATTGTGGAAGGAGAAACTTTGTCAGCATGAGAATGATTTTTGACTCTTATTCGTCTCCATGTCACTGAAAAGGCAGATATTTGTTTGATCTTTGATAGTCATCAAAGTATTGAAAGTGTCATTTTTAATCTACATATTGGGTTGCAACTACTGAACGCATATCATGTGTATTGCATTCGTCACATAGCAAGCAATTTTAATTAGTGATTTAAGAATACAAGCTTGAAGAAAGATTTGAATTATTGATTTCTTTTTATAGGATATACAACATGCAAACAAAGATTTGAAGAAAAACTTGAATGGTTTTGTAACAAGTCAGAGGACATTAGAAGCTGGATTAACTACACCTCCAAAGAAAAATGGACTTTGACTTATGATCACGAAGGAAGACGTTATAAGTATATGACTACCAATTTATCTGAAGCTATGAATAAAATTTTAAAAAGTGCACAAAATTTGTCTATAACTGCATTGGTCAAATGTACATATGCACTTAGTAGAGTATTCTGTGAAGCGTGGTGAAGAAGCAACAACAGAACTTAATAATGGTAATAGATATTGTCGTAAGTTAATGCAGCAAATGGAGAAAAATCAACAAGAGGTTTCTTCACATCAAGTTTGATGATATGACATACAAAGAACAAGGTTTGAAGTAGAAGAGGCTTTTAATCCTATCACACAATGTGGTGGTAACAAGTGGACTGTAATTTTATCCAATAGATTTTGTGAATATGGAAAGTTTCAGGCATATCGCTACCCATGCTCACATGCCATAGCTGTTTATGCATCTATGAGTATTGATTATTGGCAATGAGTTGATCCTGTTTATTTTGTGCAATATGTTGTTAAATCTGATTGGTGGCCACTTGAAAATGACAACAATATTTTAACGTAGAATGAATGGAAGTTAGTATCAGACGACCAAAGATCAAGGAGAAAAGGTAGACCAAAATCTATACATATTAGGAATGAAATGGATTAGGTGGACTCTCAACCACGTCAACGATGTCGTTTGTGTAAATAAATTGGTCACAACCAATGTCATTTTCCTAGCCATAATCAACATGCATGACACTTTTTAAATATTGTTGGCATTACTATTATAACATTATTTGTTTTTGTTATGTATTAAGTTATTGTAATAGACTCCAAATTATGTTTGATGTTTTAGGATGGTATTATAATAGTCATAATACATAATCCAAAAACATATAGATAGCATGCTAATATCTGCCCTGCTGGTCATGGTCCTTATGTGGAGGGAGGATGCAATGACGAGGTCGATCTCTGGGCTCCATATGAGGATTATTGATGATCGGTTAGTGCTTAAAAGATTTGTCGCAAATCCTTATCAAAATTTAAACAAATTAATATAATATTAGAGTTACCCTAGATTGTCTCCCG